TTTTGGAAACGGAAGTTTTGCTGGCAATGCCGTGATGCGGCAATTATTCACATTTAGAATTTGCAAATTAGGGAATGATGTTGGCTTTGAGTCATCGGGTAAGGAGGTAATCTGATTCACAGAGAGATCTAATCTATCGACATTTGGGAAGACTACGGACTTATCTTCGAATGTTGGGAATTCAGTGAATTTGTTGTGATCTAGCTGAAAACAGGTGATGCTATCCTGGTACAACTTGAATCCAATTGGAATTGACTGGAACAGATTGAACCCGAGAAGTATTGTCGAAGGCTCAAATGGAAGTTCTTTTAAATCTTCCTCCGATAAGTCCGTTAAATTTTTCCTTGCGAGGTCTAATGTCTTCGATTTAATTCCCTGCATGCTGATAACTCCTAATTTACCGGAAGTTTCCACACCAGTCTCATCGGATGATCTCTTACCGTTACGCCCGCGGCCGATGGGTGGTATTGGTGTACTTTCAGGAATTGTAGGACCGTCCATGTTTCCAAAGTCTATGTTGTAATATTCAAATGTTAATTAAATAGAAATTTAGAGACACAAAATCACTTATAATCTTCCTTACCAACAGTAGTCAATCGATCCCTTAAAGTTTTCAATAATGCCGCGGTGGATTTTGGACCCTTTGGTGCGTTTTTCAGGGGGTTGCCCTCCCAACCCAAGAAATCCAAACTTGTCAACATTCCTAATTCCGCCGGTAATAATTTGAGATCATTATTACTTAAATCCAACCGTTTCAGCCCTTTTAGAGCAATCAATCCTTCAGGAACTTCGCTCAATTTATTATCTCCAATGTCAAGAATCTCGAGAACCGGCGTGGTATGAAATAAGGGACCAAAAGATTCGATTCGATTGAGCGAAGCGAGCAACTCCTTTATCTTTGGTAACTTAATTGCTGGATGAAAAATGGTTGCGTTAAGTGAGTCGTCTAGTGCTTTCAGCCGATTCTGCCTGACGTTCAATCTTTTTAACGACGGTAGGGTGACAGTTTGTCCTTCGAGCCCCGTGAATACTACTTCCAATTGATTTTCACTGGCTTCAAGTTCTTCCAAGTTTTTCATTTCACTTATGGCCATTCCGGGAATTTCTTTCAGCTTATTCTTTGAAATATTAAGCTTACGCAAATTTGTTAATTTTTCGATTTCTCTCGGAAGGCCCGTTATTTCATTTGATGAAACGTCGAGTAATTCTAATCTAACCAAATTTCCAAAAGAGCTATCTAATATTCCAGACAAGTTATTTGAGGCAAGTTGTAACTCAACAAGTGATGACAAAGTAGTCAAACATTTTGGGAGTTCGGTGAACCGATTTACTGAGAGATTGAGAGATTCCAGTTTTTGTAATTCGTCAAACCCGTCAGGAAGAGTGGATAGATGATTGTTGTGAAACTAAGGAATCAAATAACGATAAATGATGATGGTGAATGATTAGAAATTGATATCGATTTTCGGGAATATAGTTGAAAAAGAAGTTCAATAATGATTTACATCGATGAACGCGAGGGCATTGAATTCCACAATTCTTTTATCGATTGATTCTAACTGATTGTCCGCGGCTACCATTCTCACGAGGTCAACAGTTTCGTACCACACGTCAGAACCACCACCACTGAAATCAATGGTGATGGATTTAGGATCGACCTCGTACATTTTCCACACTTCTTCTGGGATCGTTTTAAGAGAACGATGGGAAATATTTATACGGCCTTCATAAACCAAATTCAAGTTAGTTACTCAAATCAAGTGAAATGCATTAATCGCAAGAAATCACTTTGAATTTAATTTAATACCAGAAGATTTTGCCTGTTTGACGATAACATTCAAACTTTTAGAACCTGATTCTGATTCTTCATTTTGTTCACTCGCTTTGTTATTGACTTTTCGTAATCTAGCTTGAGCGATGACATCCTTAATTGATGGCTTTGACGATGTCCTGGTGGATGCCGAAGGTGAAGGGGATCTTGACGTTCGTGGAGACTTTTCTTTAGGGGAAAGACTCTTCGAAGGAGTAGAATTTGCCTGCGAAATTTTCCTGGTAGAAGTAGATGCAGAATTACCACGAACTGATGATGAAGTACTAGTGGTTTTTGGCGATGTGGTTGAGCGCGCACCGACGACCGTTGATTTCACGGGCCTCGAGCCTCCGCGTGCAGGAGTCGTTCCAGAAGTAGATTTTCGCATATTTATTGATCTGAATGTTTCATAAATTCAAAATAAAATTCAGGTGTGAAATTAAAGACACACGAACATCAAACTTTGATCATACCCCTGCGTTAAAATGAGGCTATTGATGGTGAACAGATCCTTGGATCGATGATTAA